CGTGCATTCCTGTTGATGATGCAGTAGAGGTGGTCAGTTTAAGATTAAAATCAGACACCACTCTGAGCAGCAGGACCACGCTTTCCACAGAACAACTGTGTCAACTCTTGAAACTGTGCCTGCAGTCAACCTACTTCACATATGGGGAGCAATATTATAGGCAGAAACATGGGTGTGCTATGGGGTCTCCAGTTTCTCCTATTGTTGCCAACCTGTACATGGAGGAGGTAGAAAAGAGAGCCTTGACATCCTTTTCAGGGACACCACCAAGTCATTGGTTCAGGTATGTTGACGACACCTGGGTTAAAATCAAATCTCAGGAAGTCCAACATTTTACTGACCACATCAACTCTGTGGATAAATACATCAAGTTCACACGAGAAGATGTAAAAAATGGCAGGTTGGCTTTCTTGGACTGTGAGGTCTCAGTCTCTGATAGAGGACATTTGCAAACTGAGGTGTACCGCAAACCCACCCACACAGACCAGTATTTGCAGTTTGACTCCCATCACCCTTTGGAGCACAAGTTAGGAGTCATCAGGACTCTGTACCACAGAGCAGACAGCGTCCCCACTAGCTCAGGAGCCAGGCAGAAGGAGAAATCCCACACAAGACAGGCTCTAGAGCAATGTGGATATCCTAACTGGGCCTTCCTGAAAGAAGAAACCCAAACAGGACTCCAGTCAGCCATCAGGTGAAAAGGAGGAACCCAGACCCAGACCAGTGGTCATTCCAGATGTTGAGGGAGTATCAGAGAAACTGAGACGTTTATTTTCTAAACATAACGTCCCAGTGGCTTTTAAACCCCAAAATACATTAAAGACTGGTTCATCCCAAAGATCCAGTCCCCCGGCACAAACAGAGTAATGTTGTGTATGTTGTTCAGTGTCAGGAGGGTGATCAGTCTTACATCGGGGAAACTAAACAGCCACTGGCCAAAAGGATGGACCAGCACAGAAGATCATCATCATCAGGCCAGGACTCTGCGGTCTACACTCATCTCCAGGCCAGAGGTCACTCTTTCAGGGATGAAGATGTTCACATCCTGGATAGAGAGGAACGATGGTTTGAGAGAGGAGTAAAGGAGGCCATCTTTGTGAAAAGAAACCGTCCATCGTTAAACAGGGGCGGAGCCTCCAGGTTCAACTGTCCCCCTCTTACAATGCTGTGATTGCTAGTATCACTCAGCCCTCTGTGAACAGTAAACAGCCATCAGGTGCTAATGATCCATTGTTAGGCTGATGGTCCTTCTTGATCATGTGATCAGCTGGTTCTGGTTGTCAGCAGCAAACTGGTTGATCCACTCTGAAAAGGTGCTATTTAAGAGACTGAGCGGAAAACAGCTCCTCAGACTGAGGAAGTCTCTTGGATGAGAGACGAAACTTTTCTACATTTTTTTTTTTTTTTTTTTTGAATGTCCAGAGGACCAGATTGAACTTTTTTGTAATGTGTAACGTAATTTTATTCTTGTTAGAATTAGTAGTAATTACAAAATTGGTACCGAAAAAAGAACCGTCCAGGAACCAACACCGAAAGGAAGGTACCGACACCGGTACCGATTTTTTTAGAAACGTACCCATCCCTAAATAAGCGTCTTTGAGATCGATGGAGGTAAACCAGTCCTTCTGGTGAATGTTGATCAACAGTTGTCTGGTTGTCAACATGTGAAACTGTCTCTCCAAACTCGACTTGTTGAAAATGGATAAATCTAAGATGGGTCTCATCCCACCGGTCCGTTTCAGAACCAGGAAGTAACGTGAGTAAAACCCTGTGTTTTCCTCTCCGTTGGGAACCCTGGAAATTATATTTTTTTACCAGTAGTTCCTGAACTTTTGCATGAAGGGATGAGATCTGTTCTGAAGATGACAGAACCGTCCCTATAATACCTCTGAACGGAGGGGGTTGAGCTGGGAACTGCAGCGTGTAACCCTTGCTGATAAGATGGTTCATCCAGTTGTTCAGGGAACACGCTCGCTGCCACTCCGCGTAATGCTCTGGGAGCTGGCACGCGTTTTTGTGTTGCGTCATGTCTTTTACGGACACCAGCCAAGTCAAAGCCTCTGTGCCGCTGCCGGGCTGTGGGCTCGCATCAGAACTGATGTGAGCTGACATGCGCTGAGGGGAGGAGTGCGCGCCCTCAGCCAAGTGGCGTCGCTTGGGTGGGGTCTGCCACCGCCGCGGGGACACGCGTTTGTCTCTGCTGCAGTCAGAAGGGACAGACCACACCCTGAGAGCTGAGAGCGAGATTTTCTCCTGGACTCGGTCTGCCGAAAAAATTCATTTTTTGCTGCTGTGTCCAGCAGGCATTGTGTGTGTTTTCTTGAGCTGCGGTGACATTTAAAAACCTGTTTGTAGGACACCGGCTCGTTTTGTGAGGAGGATGTGTGCAGAGAAGCCGCTGTGAGATCATTCGAACTGACAGTCAGGCTGAAATCAGACACTTTATTCTCTGAATGATGTTTTCATTTTATTTCAAAACTTGTGTCATCATTGCATACACACACATCCTCCGCAAGGAGTCATTTCCTAAATCTTCTCCCCAGTGAGCCCTGCGGCTGGTTGTTCCAGGGCGGCGCCTGTTGGCGGTCGCTGGGGAGATGCTGAGCCGCTGGTTGCCTGGATGAGAAGGGCTGTTCTCTGGCGGGAGGGGCCGGCGGCAGAGCGGGGCGGGAGGACGCTGCTGCAGCTGTGGAGCGTCTCTGCTGCTGCCTCTGGCCACGACAATCCCTCCAGCGGGCGGGGGGCGGGAGGAGGAATGCGGCTTCATTAGGTGGCGCAGTCTCCGACACCTCCTCCGACTTCTTCGATTTTTCGAGCATGGCCTTGAAATTGGTTCCGAACAGCGCGTCCGTTGTGATGGGGCCCTCCAGCAGGTCTTTCTGCAGTTTCTACAGCAGGGAGGGGGGAGTGTCGGAGTCAGGTGGACCGCTGGATCATTGTCATCCAGGCGGCAATGCGAGACAGGCAGACAGCAGAGGAGGCGCACAGGTTAAGGATGACGTCAGATTTTTTTTTTCATTCAACCTTTATTTAGAGAGGTAAATCCCATTTAGATCCCAGATGCCTTGCAGAGTGAGCTCTTTGTCTCCTCGGGCAGGTCTGATTCCTCCAGCCTCTTCGAGATGCTGTAGGCTAGCAGTGCGACATTTTTGTTCGCTGCGGCAACCTGGAATGCACACTAGTGGGCTCGGATGGAGAGTGATGTCACCGTCTGATCGTGCTTCCCCGGAGGAACTGGATGCTGGTCCAACCTGGCCACTTTTGCTCCGAGAGTTTCTGCT